GTGACTCATAGGATCTGAATTTGTCATTCCCTCTGAAAGATGTTTGCAGCCACATACAGGGAGAGATGGACAAAATATCAATCTTTTTTATGATAAGGGAAAATAAAAACATACTTACAGCTCTGCAATAAACACTAAATCTGTGAAGCTTATATAATGCAGTGTGCGCTGAAAGTGTTGATTCAGTTCTACAGTAATGTCTGAGGCTGTTTGGGATGCATTATATTATGGAGGTGTTCCTGTTATTATGTCCATGTGTCAATCTCACCGCACGTTTTACAGAAAGCATTTGGAGCATAACAGAATTGACCTGTTTTCAAATAAACAAGCGCAGCAGCCTTTCTCTGTGATAAAGGCTGGGCTGGTTGTTAGAGAGGGAGCCGGGCCAACTGTGAGTTTTGAAGCCTTTGATTTCCTCCTTAGTGGAGTTACGCGCCGCTACACTGCTGCTGCTGCTGCTGCTGCTGCTGCTGCTGCTGCTGCTGCTGCAACCTCTAGGATAACTCACTGGGAAGAAACACATAATCTGAACGATAGACAGTGGAGAATAACTTAACTATTCCCTGACCTTAAACGTTACATAGGTGCACGTTCATTTATGTAATACAGAGGGGTGAGCCAGATTTAAAGCAGCTAATACAAAATGTCATTTAACAATGAATCACATGACTATTTGCACAGTAGATCAAATTGATTAAACCCCAGATAATTAATTAAGTTTGGATTTAGGGACGAATCGCAAAGACACAATACTGACGGACAAAGTAAGCAACTAGTTGGGGAATATGGAGCATATTGAAGCTAAAGAGCCAGATACTTTCCTCTGGAGGAGACCAAAAACTGNAAAAATCCTATCTCAAAAAATTAGAATAGTTCCTCAGACCAAGTAAAAAAAAAAGATTTATAACAGCAAAACACAATCAAACATTTGAAAATGTCCATTTAATGGACATTTTCAAATGTTTGATTGTGTTTTGCTGTTATAAATCTTTTTTTTTTACTTGGTCTGAGGAACTATTCTAATTTTTTGAGATAGGATTTTTGAGTTTTCTTAAGCTGTATGCCATAATCAGCAATATTAAAATAATAAAAGGCTTGCAATATTTCAGTTGATTTGTAATGAATCCAGAATGTATGACATTTTTGTTTTTTTAATTGCATTACAGAAAATAAAGAACTTTATCACAATATTCTAATTTTCTGAGACAGTCCTGTATTCAGATATGCTTTGAGATTCTCTTCTGAAATGCCCCTACAAAGGTCAGATTTAAGTTTGAAATTCAACACAGCAATCACAAAGCCATGAGGACAGTAGCTCGTTCATAAAATACCCTTTTCTGCAGCCACTCGTCCATACAATCACTGAGTGTAGAGTTTTCAGGATGACCTTGTGTTTGCTCTCTAATAAAATTTGTGTAGTGTCGAGAGATGCGCACTTTACTTAAAATGACTTTCTCGCTGGATCTTCCTTATCTCGTAAACAGTCAGTCTGACAGCGTGAACACACACGGGAACAAATCAAGCTCCGGCGCCAGATAATCTCCCAGAAAATGATTTTAGGATCAGATTCATTAACAGAGGGTATTATTGCTTTTTAAGATACAAAACAAACATCAGGATTTCACACATTTACTGCCTTTTTGATCCCAAAAATAAACAATATGTTGGATAGAACGCCACTAGAAATCTCTGTTTATCCTTAATGGCACCATGAAACAACTAATGACACGGATTGGATGTGTTTTTATTCCAAATAATTCACACGCTGGTTATTAATGGATGTTAGTCTTGCATTAATCAACATGACTGATTATTGTCATGAGATCCATGGATTGATTTAATTAGAGATAGGTACAGTAATATTTCAGAACGCATTTTCAGACCAAAAGGGTCGTTTTGAACGGTTGTGGAAAGTAACTAAGTACATTTAGTCCAGTACTGTACTTAAGTAAACATTGAGTATTATCACATTATGCTCACTACATTTGATAGGAGATAGTTAGTTGTCCTTTAACTTCACTAAATCTATTTTACAGCTCTAGTTACTTTGCAGATTGAGATTATTACAAATGATAAATCAACTAATAAATAATGCCATATTATATTAGGCTTAACTACCCAACAGTTTATACATTAATATAAATAAACACCAGCTTTACCAGTTGCAACGTTAAAGTGATGAACACATTAATGCGGTTATGATTATGATACAATGACATATCGTGTATTTTTCTGAAATGGGTCATACTCCATGAGTAGTTTTACTTTTGATACTTTAAAAAATATTTTGTAATACTTATCATTTTGGACTTTAATTTGAATGCAGGACTTTTACTTGTAACTAAGTATTTGCACATTGTAGTTTTGCTACTTTGGTTCAAGTAAAAGATCTGAATACATCTTCCACCTTTGGTTTTCATAGTGGTGATACAATATCATAAATAACCAACAGTCTTCTGTGTTATATACCATCAGTTCAGCCTCTTTGCTTTTGTACGGAGGACGATTAGGGCACTGGTTTTTATGGGGGTCTGACCAAATGTGATTTTTTTTTTTCTGATAAAAAAAGTCATAAAATCTGTCTGTTAATCTCAGAAAAAAACACATCTGGCCCTAATCGTCTCCGGTAGCTCTGAACTTCCCATCTGACTAATGCCCCTTTCACACCAACGCGGTTCCAGGGCCGGTTCGGAGCTGGAGCTTGAAAAGCACCCGTTTTTCCTGTTCACACCGCAGCGGAGCCGCCTCTAAGCTCCGGAATCAAGTTTGTTTCAAGCACCAAAAAGTTGTCGGTCTAGAAAGCAAGCACCGCATACGTCACGCTTACGTTGGAGGCGGGGGAGGGGCAGGGGCGGGATCAACCTCTAACAACAACAAAAAGCCTGCGTTTTATCCAGTTTGTACACAACGATGGAAAACCTAAAACTTAACAAGCAGCAGTGGTCCACTGAAGAGACCAGCTACCTACTGGGAATCTGGTCTTCCGCAGAGGTACAGAGGAAGCTGGAGGGGAGCAAAGAAACTTTTGAATGTAGCATGTAACGACTGTAAAGTTGGTAGTAAAGTCGTCCCATTTCTTCCATTTCGTTTCGACAGATCAAAACCAAAACGAGCAGCGCTTCAATACAATCGGCCATTGTTGTTGTTGTCGATGTGACGGGGTTCTGCGTGGTTTGGCTTTATGAAGCATGCAGGCACGTAAACGGTTACGTCATGACGCAAACGATGGCGCAATGACGCAGCACCAGTCGGGCTCTGAGCGGTGTGAACAGAGCGGGAGCTGAACCGAAGAACCGGTTCCGAACCAGAAAAGCTCTAGCACGGAGCTAGAACGGGAAAAGCCTTGGTGTGAAAGGGGCATAAGAATGATTTTGAGCCTTTTTTGCGCTTCAGATGCTTCTGATGATTTCCATTGAAAAAGATCATTGTACATTCAAAAGTCAATGTCCATAGTAATCACAACATACAACTGTAAACATGTTAGGTTCACTCTTTATTTACACTATTCTGTGCATTTGAAATACAACATCACATGTCTCTCCCAAGAGGACAACCTGCTCAAAGGGAACACTCATAAACAACTTCCAGCTCCTTCTTAAGGCCCTTTGCACTTTGATGTAATCAGATCTCCACAGAGGCTGAGCTGGAGGACTCGCTCAGTAAATTCAATTTAATGCAATGATTTAGGACATTTCTCAGAGCCCCACCTCGACTTATTACAGATTGATTTGAAAGGAGGCAGAAATCAAAGGGCCGAAAACAGAAAGAGGAAAATAATGTATTTTCTGACAGCCAAACTGAAAACACAATAACAGACATGATTATATAATGTGCGTAGATAGAACCTTCCAAAAAATAAATGTTCAATGTATCACCAGACACAAAAGGATATGTTGTATGCACATTTAAACCAATTTGTTTCCAGCAGAGATATTTTCTGAATGATCCTGTCAAATGAAACTGTAAGAAGATGTTGTTGTTTTTTGATAAAGTGTTCAGCTGCAGCATCTGAAGCCTCAACCATCCCAATCTGTTTTCACAGACTCCGTACCTTCCACAAAAAATGTTTATTCCAATTACGAAACATTATACAAACATAATCAATGAAGACAAAGAAAAAGGAGACAAAACAAAGAGAAACAACAGAACCTGGCTGTGTTTCAACTTTTTGATGCTGCTGTAAAATTGGAGTTCAACAATCACAATCAGAAGTCCTTCCTGTTGTGGACTAAATACAATGCTGTTTGCAACATGTTGTAGATCAAGTGAGGCTTTACAATAAATCACCCTGAACTAAAGTCTACTTGTGCAACAACTTAAACATTGTAATGCCTATATTATTGCCAATTTTCAGGTTCATATCAGTATTTAGTGTCTCTCCTGTGACATGTCTCCATGCTTTAATGTTCAAAAAGCTCTTTATTTTTCTCATACTGTCTGTGCTGCAGCACCTCTTTTCACCCTCTGTCTGAAACCAGAGCCCAGTCTGCTCTGACTGGTCAGCTGGCCGGATCTGTTGTGATTGGTCAACCGTTTAGAGATGTCCCGCCCCTTAGTCTATCACGTATAGTGCATGCACAAAAACCTATATAACGCACTATACAGGAAACCCACAAAAAGCATAGAGCCTCTTTAAATGTACAATTAAATAACAAGTTTTAAGGTTTTCAATGAACATTAATAACATGGTTTGTTCAAAAATGGTTAATACATTCATTTATCTTAAAAATAATTTCACACAATGTGCTGTTTCATTTTTTATGTGTTTTTGTTCATCAGTTTTTCACTCTTTAAATCACTGAAGTTCTGCTAATTGGTTCTGCCAAAAAAGTTAAAGAGGGTCCATCCAAAAACAGCAGCAGGAGCTCTGAGTTGCCGCATAAAAAATATAAAATGTTCTTGCAAAATGATGACTGGCCAATGCAACTTTAAAAAAAAAATCCTCTGAAAACAATATTTTTAAAAAAATCACGATTTTTATTGATCATTTATCACCATATTTCTTCAATACATTAGTTATTGGAACATTTAATGATGACATTAAAACCTTTCAACCCTTAGATTTACATCATTTAGGTTGAGCAATAATTGAATAACGTTCTGAAACTATCATCATACAGAGGCACAGTCCAGCTTCCACACTCATCATGGATAGAACAACGTGACACAAACATGAAGTAAAAAATAAATATAGATTGTTTCGGTTCAGCAAGATAAATATAAATGGTTCCATAAAAGTAGCAGGGTTATTTAATAAGTGTCACCATCCTTGTCCCTTCAGATATCTGTCAGTGAATATATTTGCACTTTTACACCACAGAGTCCTTTCCTTGAGCATTTTAAGTATGGAGTGCGATTCAACTGTGAATCTTCAGAGAGCCTTTTGAGCTGCACACACATTCCTACCTCTGCCTCTTTATTCGTCGTAACAGAGAACTGTAGCAATCACCTTCATCAGACGTTTTCTCGGCAACAAAAAATAAATGTCATTGATGCCAAGGGCAACATTCAGTCACTGACAAAAAAAGATGTCAGTAAACAACATACATTTGATCAGCAAAAGTAAACATTGAAACCACTCAACCTGACGAGAGTGCAGACGATTTAAATACTTCTGCAGGAAAGCCTTTGAGGTGGATTTTAACACACTGCAGAAATGCAAACATTAACTCCTCTGTAGACATGAAGGGAAGTGCCGTGTAAGCACAGGATGAGCTCCAGAGCAGCTATTAAGGAGTTTATTAATTCATCATTTATTCAGGTGGCCCAGTGGAAGCTGTTTATGCTCACCAGCAGTGACAGGAACCTGTTTATTATCTACATGTCAACTAATTAACGTCCTTAGAGGTCCATTACACTTTATTAACATCCATAAACCACAACTTGACTTGTGTATTGTGAATACACAAGTTACACCTACTAGTTTTAACAGCAGATACATTTTGGGGAAATGTATGATGTATTATTTTATCAATATATTGACAACATATTTGAATGAACGTATCAACGACAAAATCTTCAATGGCATCCTTTTTATTTGCTTTCCCAACAATATGCGCTTTGACTGTAAAAACTAAAGCAGGATAACCCTTTCTATGGTTACCATTAGGCACTCACGTTTGGTTAAGTTCAGGGAAAGATGGCGGTATTGGTTAAACAAAAAATAAAGAAAGCTCTAGCCGAATCCTCAACCTGCAATGACCTGTTTTGGTCACATGGGGGCAGCAGAAACAAGCTCACGCTAACATATTGTTGGCTTATTTGGCTAGTTTTGATAGCAAACATTTGTTAGTTTGTACATCCGGCAGATATGAAGCAGTATGAAAACACTTTTGGAGTCGTGTTTGTGTCCCTCTGTTGAATTTAAGTCAAATATTTCAGTGTTGGCTTCCGCTATTGGAACATATCCCGCTCTTTTGCTGCAGAATGCCCAAGTATTTCCACCAGCTAGTTGCTAACTTTGTCTTTGTGCTTTGAGGCAGCTCCATAATCAGCGTTTAGTGATATTATCTATGCTTTTATAAAGAATAAGAGCTGCCTGATGAAAATAGTGCTCATTATAGCAGAGAGAGTCAACACAAATGGTGAGCTGTAAAACCAAAAAGAATTGGCTGAAAAATTTAAGCTTTCCAAATATCTAAAGGGAACTACAGAGTTGGTGATGATTATTCTTATTATCATGGAGCACATTTCACATCCATTGATCAATTGTTCTGATGGAAATATTGATTACAGCAGCTTTTGTTGACTAAAACCTTACTATACATGGGATCAGGATGCTAACTCAAATCTCCAGATTTACAATCCATTACAAAAACACCAATTGAAGAAAACATTGCCACTGATAGTAATGACTCCAAAGCGTCTCTGCCAAATCAAATTGATGGAATATAAATGTGATTTCTGGGCGACTGGGTTTACCAGTAAACTGAAATAAACAAACAACCTTCATTCATTATTCACCAAAAGCAAAAATATCAGTATCAGCAGTGATTCTTAATAATCAGAAAAATATGAAATGTGGACTCTGATAATGGACGGATAAGCACATTATGGGTTCCTGTGCACAGACTTTTGAATGAGCGACAACCATACTGAAATAGCAGTCATTAGTCGTTTTGCCTCAAATTGTGGTGGTTTTGAGTCTCTTTGTGGTATTTTTGAGCGTCTATGTGTAATTTTGTCTTGTGTTTGTGTGATTTTAAGGTTGTTTTATGTCTCTTTGAGTGTCTTTATTGTGGCGCCTCTTGGTTCTGTCGTCTCTGGAGTTGTGCTTTTGACCCAGTAGGCCTTTTAAGTAATCAATGAATTCCTCTGATCACTAAACGCGCATTGCAATAAGCATTGATCTCTTTTTTTTAAAAGCAAATACATGTTTTCCATCAAAGTGGCACCACCATCATCTCTTGACCAGAGTAGATACCCCCCAAAAATACTTACAATTTGATTACTTTGATGATTCGCTACACAAGTAACACAAGCATATACAGTTTACACCCAAAAGGCAGATGTACTTGAATGCAACAGTTGCCATGTTGAACTGGGAAAAGTATTTTTAGATTTTGAGTCTTCCTCTCTGAGGTTGCTTGATTGGCAGACACATCTAATAGCTCATCGAGTCTCTTTCATCTGGACGTGAACTCACAATCAGAGAACGTGAATGATTTCCAAAGTCTTATGTCTTCTCTCTGTTTGGATCCTTTCCCATCTATCTCCTTTCAACATTTTGGCAAGATGGAGCAGCAATGTTTTGATTATACAGTGACAACACTTTATGAAGAAGTCAGGATGCTTACAATCTTCTTTCCTTTCATTTTTTCTCACAGCGGGAACACAAGAAAGCCAGAAAATGTTGAGTACTGCCATCCGCCAACTAGGTTTCCCTTCTCCAGCTTTAAGTAGACTTTGTCCTCCTTTTCTAGATAAAGCAGAACTCCATTGGTGGCCGCTTCACGAGTTACATCTTTGTCACCCGCAAAGGCAGAGATGACTGGTTTCCCATTCAACATCAAGTTCACCTGGATAACAGAAATAACAGTGAGAAACCTTAAAATACTGAATAGTGCTAACATCTTATTTGCAACATCTTAACCTCTTGTGCAAAACTCACCTACACAGTCACAGCTACTCATTATAACAAATACCTTTAAGGGGGCCATAGTATGCTTTTTTGGTGTTTTTCCTTTCCTGTAGTATATCATATTGTTGTTTGTGTATTAATGGTTTGCATTGGACTCCTTTGTTTACTTCAGTAACAGAGTGACATCACTATGGAACACTCGCCCTAACATTGGCTAACGCTCCAACACATTGTGCGTGATAGGCTAAGGGGCGGGACAACTCTAAGGGGTGGACCAATCATAACAGAGGCAGCCAGCTAACCAGTCAGAGCAGACTGGGCTCTGGTTTCAGACAGAGGGTGAAAAGAGGTGCTGCAGCACAGGCAGTATGAGAAAAATAAAGAGCTTTTTGAACATTAAAGCATGGAGACATGTCCCAGTAGAGACACTACATACTGATATACACCTGAACATGAGCATAATAGGTCTTCTTTAACGTATCAGATTAAAAATGAGGTGTGTATGGTCTTTACTTCTTTCTTTAATTGAACGTAATGTTAAACCCACACCAAAATGTCCAAACAGTACCTAAAAAATACATGTTATCCCTCTCTAATACTAAAACAGGTTAACAATGTAAACAATAACACATCAAAATAATGTTTTCTTACCTGTATAGTTTGGCTCTGGTACACTTTAATAACATGGAAGTTAAAACTGTAGATTCCTGTTCTAGGGGACAAAAATACTGACTCAAATGTGAAGTAGTTTCCTATATTCACCAGAACCTATGAGAAAGAGAGAGGATGTAAGAAAACATTATGACAAAGGTGTTTATATACGTAGCCAGCACTTCAGCAAAGGATTTTATTCAAGGAGGCTTTAGGATTACATGTGTTCATGAACACAGGTTTCACAACGCTGCACACACACACCCTGAATGCAACACACTTCAAATGATATTACATTTTTCCTCTCAATGGATCAAAACCCCGCTTTCAACTTTCATACATACTCACACAAAAAAAATTCTAAATGATGCTCAATGACATTATTTAATAAAAATGTTCCAGTTTGGTGCAAGGAGAGGATTTTTCTTCTAAATCTTTTCAGGCTCTGTCTCATCAGTGTCAGCACTGATGAGACAGAGCCTGAACAGATGTAGAAGCTATTTGATTACTGCTTTTTCATCTAACCGAATGAATATTAAAGTGTTATGATATAATACATAAAAAAATGTTTCTTACTGTTGCTTGCAAACCCACTCTGAATATGTCACTCAGCATTAAATGCTGTCTGAATGTCACTAAAAGGTTTTAAGCACCTACTAGATGACATACAGTATTTAAATTAACTCCTTTGGGTCCTGATTGATGGAGGCAGGAACTCCTGCACATCTGAAACACACCTGATAAAGTCGCCACTGCAGCCTCCACCTTTGACAGGTGCTGCTTTCATAGCAACAGCGTGATGTGCACCAATCAGATGACATGCACTGTGTAGACAGCACAAGGTATTATGAGGCTACAAATGAGAGGGCAGGGGATCAGGCAGTGATATTGTTATTAACACCTAACTCTGCCCACCGCTGTGTGACTAATCACATTCTTGTTGGTTGTGTTGGCTGATTTTTTTGGGGTGAGGGAGGGAGGAGGGAGTGTTGAAAGTGATGCTGTGTGTGTGTGTGTGTGTGTGTGTGTGTGTGTGTGTGTGTGTGTGTGTGTGTGTGTGTGTGTGTGTGTGTGTGTGTGTGTGTGTGTGTGTGTGTGTGTGTGTGTGTGTGTGTGTGTGTGTGTGTGTGTGTGTGTGTGTGTGTGTGTGTGTGTGTGTGGTAGCTTGAAGCAAACTGGCTCTGCAGGATGCCAGCTCTCCAACATAATCCAGACACTTTCCAACATGCAAACTACAAGCAGCCTAAAACTAAACTCTGAGGTGCAGATATTCCTCAGCATGAATCAAAACGGTTCTCCAGGATGAAAGTTTAGGACAAAAAACACTAGGGTTTAAAAAGGGTTTTGACAGATGGTCAATTATAGGGGAGTTGGGTTTTGTTTGTTTTACAATTATGCGTTGGGATGCAATTTTATTTGATGACAACCATTTTCATCAAACTGGTTGTTCTTTCATTCATGGATTTATAGTGGGGTGTTTTCTGCACATTTTTTTTTTGATTGCTTTATTATTATTTATTTAGTATTCATCTTTATTTATTTGTGTTATTGCATTTTGTTGTTGGAGAAAGTGACATTTGGTGTCATGTTGAAATGTTGAATGCAGAGTATTCACACTCATTCAGTAAAGAA